AGGAAAAAAGGAAGACTGTTAATATTGCTATCATTCAAAAATACTCACCCACCAACAATTAAAGCCAAAGAGAAGGAAATAGAAGATTTCTACCAATTTTTTGCTGTCTGAAATTGATCAAACATGTAATCAAGATATATTAGTAATAAATGGTGACTGGAATGCAAACGTTGGGAACAAGAGAAAAGGATCAGTAGTTGGAAACTATAGGCTTGATTATAGAAATAAAAGTGGAAATGGAAAGACAGAATTTTGTACAATGATGGAACAGTAGTCAGAAAACATAGGCTTAGTGACAGAAATGATGCTGGAAATAAAATGACAGAATTTTGTATAGTCAATGATTCATTCTTTGCAAATACCTTTTAAAAGAAACATAAATGGCAACTATATACATGGACCTCACATGATGGTCTGCACAGGAATCAGATAGACTACATCTGTGGAAAGAATCAGCGAAGAAGCTCAATTTCAACTGTGAAAACTAGGCCAGGTGCTGATTGTGGAAGAGACTATGCAAGTTCAAACTGAAGCTGAAGAAGATTAAATCAAATCAAATCCACAGGAACCAAAGTTTGGCCTTGAGTCTATCCCACCTGAATTAAAAGAAAAAAAAAAAATCTCAGGGACAGATTTGAGGCTTTGAATACTAATGAGCAAAGGCCAGACCATGCAAGTTCCTAGAGGGGTGGGGTAGGGGATGGAAGAGACAGAATGGGGCCAGAAAGATGCCGCAGTGCAAGTCATTGCACTCCTCTCAATTCTTGGCCCTGGTCCCCCTCCTGAGTGGCCTCTCAACGAAGTTGAAGTCCTACCTTAGGAACCACCAAATACCAAACCTAATTGGGTGAAAGTTGGACTGACCTTGAGCACTGCAACCTTCTTGTGGAGATATCTAATCAAACATCATATTGAAGATGTTTTAGAGTATAAAAGAAGAAAGGGACTGGAGCAAACTATTGAAATAGAGTATGTTCCATACAGTGATTACACAGTTCCTATGGACTCATTAATCTTTTGATTGTAAATGAGAAAGAAAAGAGTTATATCTGGATATAGATTGTTATTATTTGTGTGTTATATTGTTAAGCCTAGAGAGGGTTAAACCAGGCTGCTCCTTGGAGGCAAGGATTCTGGGGCTTCGCCTGACATACTTTGGACATGTTGTAAGGAGAGACAGGT